GCACGAATGAAAGAGTTCAATACTCGTTCAGTGGATGCGAATCGCGTGGCGGACATTTGCTCCACCATTACTGCAGTGCGATGCAGCTCTCGTACTTTGCGCATGTGCATTTCAAGTCGAGTCATTTGCTCAGAATTGGGAGAGCTTCCCCTCATCTCCCCCTCCTTACGACAAAAGCCCACGATCACCAGGCCATTGTACTCCTGTATACACTCAATTAGCCGGGCCTTCAGCTTCTTATGACTATGCACCATAGTGACGACATGCGAAACCTTATCAATGACGGTCGCCATCCAGCCAAGCTCTGACACGTTTTCGATAAGAAGATCGGCCACATGGCTCTGATCATTCACGCTAAAGCTTCCCCGGTTGCGGCTGGCAAACTGCTCCCTCGTGTTAATATATGACTGTGTATTGTCACTAGTGATAGCACACACCTTGTCACCATTTTTGTACGATGCGAGCGTCTTCTCAACTATTTATAAGTAATCTGCAGCTCCCAACTTCCGTGACCCAGAGTATTCCGTCCCAATCATAAAAGGGAGTTTCTCTATTCCGTCCATTCCAAAGTCAACTTTTAACATAATGTTTATGACAGATTGTCTTGTGACATCCTCCGAACCATCAAACATCACTGTAGCAACCCCCTCAGCTCAGAGCTTCATGGATGCATCTTTTAACGTGCCCCTGTGTGTCGTCGCAACAGTTGTTTAGGAGCTCGCCGCCAATTTTTTTTGGCAGAAGGGAGGTTTCTCGATATCCGGATTGAGCAGGGCCAGCATATCTCTCTCAGGACTCGTGAACTTCTCTGTAAGCTTCTCGAAAAGCGAAAACGGACGAACCCGGAGAACAACGACCTTGATTATGGCTTTCAACAGCCGTTCCACCCCCTCCCGGTCCAGCACCAATGGTTTAACTGCCACCTGGCTTAAGTCCGTGCGCTGGCGCTTACCTCCATTCCTTTCGCCGCTGTATTTTTGGGGAGGTGGACCTGTGTTTTCGACGGCTCTGCCCGCAGAGAAGGATGAGTTGCTCAACGAATGTCGGCATGCGCGGACATCTGTACTTGACGGAGCAACTGACAACGCTGATCTTCTTGAGGTCACTGCGTGTACATTCTTGGCGTATGCGGAGCGCGCGAAGCTGGAAGCTTCCAGCAACTGCCGTCGCTCAACCTCTGGCATTGTGCAATGTGGCGGTTTTGTGAGTCCCTGTAAATGCAGTACAAATCTGTGATAGTATCGCACGGATACCTTTTTACCGCAAAATATGCAATGCCCAAACTTTGATTGAGCCTCCCTGCAGTGCCTGGAATATTTCCAACCAGCACCGCGAAGCTTGATCCCGAAATGTGTAACCCGAGAGCATCGCAAGCGCTGCTCTGTCGTCTCCGATGCTTGAATCCCCATGTATTTCCATCCTCACGTATCAATAAACTCCCGTCTCTTGCAGAATTTTCCAGTAACTAAGATATGGCCACAAAATGTACAGTTCCATGAAGCTCCTTGGGAATCAAGTTCTCCAACTCTCCGTCTATGGCTTCAAACCTACCGACGGATAAGGTCCCTTCCTCTATCATACCCTCTTGTGTGGGCTGCATCGGGAGAGCAGGTTGCACCTGTTCCTCTGTTGCGCTTCGCGGCACATCTGGATACTGGAACCTTCCGAATGACACTGCCATGGGTGGTACAACCTGATTTACGTTAGAAATTGGCATGGAAGTCAACATAACAGGCACGCCGTACACAGGAAACGATGCGCTCGAGGGATTCGAGCTTGCAAGTGCAGCGGATCCTTCCAATCCATGTCCTGCACTTGTTGGCGGTGATGAGGGCATCAGAGGGTACGGTTGGCGAAGGAGAAGAAAACTTCGAGATGCTCACAGATGTGAGCGTGGGAACAATAGTCGAGGTGGCCAGCTGGGGGCCAGGTGGAGGCAGTATTGTAGGTGGACGATAGAGCCGCAAAGGGCGGTGAGGAAGCCGTAGTTTAGTATCACTTTGTGAAGCGTAGCTCGACAACGCCGCCAAGTAATTACACAGGTGCGGGTTGAGGGGCAGCGGTCACCAGCGGTAAAGTCAAAAGTGGTAAGGCGGGAAGGGGGCGGGCAGCCAAGGGGTTAAAGCGGAGGCGGAGGGTTGGTGCGATGGATCTGGGAGCGAGGCTTGGCGAGGAAATTCTGCCAAGCAATAACACTGGTGTCGGTTGAGGGGCAGCGGGCACCAGCGGTAAAATTCAAAGCCTGTAGTGTGCGCACCGAGCGTGCAGCCGAACGGTGACAGAGGCGGAGGGTTGGTGGCTGGATCTGGGAGCGAGGTTTCGGGAGGAAATGTTGCCAAGCAGTAGCAGAGAGGTGAAGGTGGAGGGCTCTGATCAACCGCCGAACGGTAATAGCTGAGGCGGAGAGGTGTTGTGGCTAGATCTTGAAGGGAGGCGTGCGAGGAAGCGCTAATGAGCAGTAGCAGGGAACTGTGAGTTGTTGATCGGTGGGTGGAGGCGGGCGAGCTGTAGAAGTAGGCGCAGAAGCGAGTGAGCGGAAAAGGGGAAGGGCTTGTTGCCAATACTCTTTTTCGGGTGGCATCCGTGTGAATCCTGGACACGTGTGACGGAATAATTCGAATCTGGACGAGCCATCCGTCCTGCACTGTCAGCTCTGAACAAAAGCGTTCACCGCCGTCCTGGCGGACACTGTGAGTCGCTCAAAAGGACGCAGTACAGTCTGTCGTCACTTTCCGAGGGGGTGCGATCTTTTGGAACGAGACAACGCCTCTGAGCAGGATACGCAATGTGAGCGGTGACTTGGAGAGAGGAGGAAAAGGCGCGGGCTTGGAGGCTGTCAAGCGGACAGGGGCGCGTAGGGATCAATTGGACGCGACTATTGTCTACAAGTAGAGCACAAGTCTGGGAAGAATGAAGATAGGGCATGGCAACGGGAACGAAGGGAGAGCTTGCACTGGTGGCGATTGTGAGGCCTGAAGGACTGGAAAGTCGGCTATTATCGCTGTGTAGGAATCATCTCTAACTATTTGTTTGTACGTTCTCGCTGTTCATTGTGACCCATCCGTGCTGTCCTTGAAGATAGGGCTGATAAAGCACTGTTTCCGTTTGATTATCACGCGCCGCAGGTGGTACCTGCAACAGGCTGATGGCAAAAATGGGGGGCGGCTCAATAGTGGAGGAATATTTTTTCCAGTTCGTCATTACCTCTACGATGTACCGACGGGAAATTAAATTCTTCAAATCTTTTCAAAATCATTCCTGAAAGTGCAGTGCAGGTGCTCCTGTCAGGCTGACGATGTGCAAACGCAAACGTCCGTCAGTTTGCTTGCCATCCTGGCCGTCTGTGTCATGACGAATGTAATTGTGAACAAGAAATGCAGAGAAAGCATTTAGAAGCCGCCAAACCTTGCCTAGCTTTCTACACGTGTATCCTTGCTGGCGGGGCAACCTTGACACCGTACCGTTACGAATCCTGTGTGCAGAAGGCATCCGATTTGCACTTAGGTTTTGCACACAGCGGTTCGTGGTGCAATGGCCCATTGCCAATGGCTTTGTACAAGAAAGAGGGAAGAAGATACTGTACCCAACGGTTAAAAGCCTCACTCATACAAGAACCGGACTGACTCCGGGAGGTCTTCACATCGACACCATATCACATTGTTAAAATTGCTGGATTTCTTGCGGTGAATAGATTTGCAGAAAATGTTACCTGCCTGATGGACTGAGTTCGGAATTCTCAGTGGAATATACGCAAATGCATGGTCTGAAGAGGTATGGTCGGCGGACGAGTTTGCCCTCTTCGAGCAAAGATTGGCGAGGGACATTCTACGAGAGCCTACGTTTCCTGAGAGAAGGTTTTCATGCGCATGCGCAATCAGTGTGAAAACACTTGACGATACGTAGAGAGAGAGACCAGAGTAGGATCTAATTGATAATAGCCTTGGACACCTCAAACAGAGATTTTTGTGGACGAATCTTTTGTACGTTAGAGCGATTGGCAAGTTGAAGATTGGGTGGTTTAAAATGTCCCGCTGTGGATTGGATGTTACGAAAAAATGACCGCTGTTTTAACTGGTATAGACCTCCTGTCCAGAAGGTATAGACCTCCTGACCAGAAGAAGAGTTGGTTTTGCATGAGCGACATTGGACTAAGTACAATGGACGGAACTTGGAAGTTGCTTGGAGTTGTGTAGCGAGTGCGGAAAAAATAGGGTTGTCAATTGCAGTTTGCGCACTGTTAACGAGTCATTGTGAACAAGATCGGAGTGCTCATTTCAGGTCACCGGCATGGGCACGCGAACATGAAATAATTGCTGCCTGAAGTCAGGGGGTGGTGTGGATTGAACTCGCAGTGTAAGCTGGGCCCTCCCCCCCCCCCCCCCCCCCCCCCTGACCTCCCTAGTAAACTGGCACAGCGGATGATGCGCGACAAAGCAGGGCGCTTGCGGGTGGCTTGCTTGATGCCTTTATCGCCTGGGGCGGCCTGAGCACTTCACACCTTTCGACCAGGAGAGGCACCCAAGTGTTCCCCTCCAACTCTACCGTAACACGTCACCCACGAGCTGGGACGGCTGAGTGATGATGATGGGACAATTTGTGATCCAGAGAGACAGACTGTCACCGCGGTCCTTCTCCACGCCGCCCTCATCTGATTTTCGTGGCTGACTGACGTATTATGTACAGTATTATGACTCCCCATTTATCACACCCGGCCGCCGTGTGTGCTCTCTTCAAGATTATAAGAGACCTTCCCTCTGCGAGGTGCTTGGTAAATGAATTGCTTCGTGTGGATTTCATTTTCACACAATTCACTTCGCGTCTCCCTCTTCATGCGATTTGGTCGAACGCCCACCTCGTTCACGCCGTAATCCATAACCTCGCCTTTCGCAAACAATTGCTCTATTCCAGTCACACTGGGCCCCTTTCAATTCAGTTCTACCTGCGCCGCTCTTCGTTTTTGAAGAGTGCGCGAAGAGATCGAACGTTGCCTTCCTGTTGTGATGCCGAGTGGAAAGTCTTACTGCCCCCGTGCTGCTGGAGTCCAGTCCTTGAGCATCGTTGACGAATCATTCTGGCTTGTATTCCGTAAGTGGAGGTCAGCTGACTTTTCTGATTGCGAGAAGAAGCCCGGGTAACAGCGGCTTCATTTGCATCTTTGTCACGAAACTCAAGCACTACGTAACAATCTCGACAAGTGTAAATTTTCTGAGGTCAGGACATTGACACGAGATAGGTATGGCTCTCGGAAACTCTAACTCTCCGGTTTGTAACCACTCCCCTAATTTAGCGCAACAATCCTCCGACTCGACTTTGAACGTCTTCGAGGGCCCAGAGAAGAAACTAGAAATGCATTTCAAACGCAGTACAGTTGGGAAACGTCTGCATACATGCCAAACCGCAGATCGCTGTAACAGTTTGCGCAATCTCCGCCGCTGCGACATCGAGGCTATCTTGCGTGCTGCTGCATGTAACATCCTTTCTGTTGCAAAGAACGAACACACAGACGCATACCTTTTGTCAGAGTCCTCGCTTTTTGTCTCTGACACTTGTCTAACACTCAAGACATGCGGGACCACGAGACTCCTTCTTGCATTACCCGTGATACTGAAACTAGTATCAGATAAGCTTGCCCTGTTGGTGACTTATGTCCAGTTTTCCAGGGTCTCTTACATTTTACCTGACGCTCAGCTTTTCCCTCATGACAGCATTGCGAATGAAGTCTCCTTTCTGGACAGGGCATTGAACACCAAGGGGCGAGTTTTTCAGGCTCCGTTATTCTCTTCATCTTGGTGGTACATGTACTCCACGACATTGGCACCTTGTGCGGGTCGTGGTGGGAAGTTGAAGAATACGGAATCTCAAGATGAAAAAAATTGTGAAACATTGGATCAAAAGCAAGCATTGGAACTCTACATGTTTGACTTGGATCCTTCCGCGATGAAGCAATTCATGTTCGGGGACAGACCGCGCATGTGGGGAAGAGACACTATCGCAGACGGTACCACGTCGCTTGTTGGGATAGACAAGTTGCTGCTTGACGGCGCGACGATAGACGCATTTAACTTTAAACCTTGCGGATACTCTATGAATGCGATGCACGATCGGTCCTATTATACCATACACGTGTCTCCCGAGCCGGATGCATCGTACGTGTCCTTCGAAACGACGGCTTCTCACAGAAATATTTCGAAGCTAATAACTTCCGTGGTGAAATTGTTTAAGCCCAGCCGTTTCACCGTCGCTATTATTCCAAATCCGACAAACGGTTGCTCAATGTCCGGCAGAGAAGAACATCAGCTCTCCATGATGAATAAGCATATGCTGACGCAATCGTTCTGCGCAGCGGCATCAAACGTTTTCTCCGTTGATGAGAGGAGCCATGCAATCGTCTCATCTTTCTTATCAGTGGAGAACTGGACCCGTCCCATCAGCCCGAGCTCAATTTTTGATGAACTGTCTGAACATGAAGATGTAGTCAAACGACTGAACACAGTCGGAAGGGCTCACAACGCTCACTTCATTGAAGACTACGAAAGTTCGGCGTTTGCTGGACCGGGGGGCGTAGACCTTGAAGAACTGAGGTACCCTCGGTTTGTTGTCGACCTTAGCCGCATTGTTAAGAATATTCAGTACATGCGCACACTTGCGAATTCAAAGCGAGTGCAGTTGCGTTATCCGGTGCGGTGTAACCCAGACAAGGCCGTCTTGGCCATTCTCAGCAGCCAGGAGATTTGGTATGAAGTGGCGAGCACTGCTGAGATTGAACTGTTGCAAAGTCTTGACATCCCACGATATAGAATTGTATTAGCCCTCCCAGTACTGACACCGTCGGCACTTAGTATGTTCGACATTGTTGGGGTTGTGATTCTTTTTCGAGAACCATCCGAGGATGTACTCAAGTCCTTGA